ATTGATATAGAGTCAAGGGTAGTATGCAGTATGTCACATGATTTATATTGATGTGATGAACTGTGGCATTTAATTTGTAAAATGTTTGTCTGGTCTTTTCAATGTAAATGTTTTCTAGGGGTGCATACGTGTTTTCTAGGTGTTACAGTTATATTGCATTTAAGTAGGGTAATTATGTAGTAACACAGTCCAATTTATATAATTTCCAAATGATGCTTTTAAAATATTTTGAAATTGTAAGTGAAAAAGGTTTGATTTTCCCTTTTTTATCATCACATTTCACCCTTTTTATTAAATCACAGATCTAGTATTGAGAATAGATAAAATACATAAGGGAAGATCTTACACAAGCTTAAGAAGGTCTTCAAATAAGCAAGAATTACAAATACAAATTCCAGTTCTGGGGCATTTATCTGCACGGGCCTTCTGAGGTAAGACCAGGACATTCTATTTTCAAGATAATTTTAAAGATAGAATATATTGTGATTTTATTTTAGAGCAACATGCAGAATTGCTTCAGCACTGTAGACTCATTTTTACAAAGCTGGAATGATTCAGTGTTGATCACCTTTTTTAAAGGAGCAAGAAAAAAACCCATATTTGCTGCGAATTGGAGAAGATTAAATTACTGGACACAAACTCAGGATTACATTGGTAGGTAACTATCAGTTTATTTTCCCCTGGTACTTTCAAATAATGTAATTTGATACTTGTAACCTGACCAGTTTTAAACATGGAAGAAAATCAGTGTTTATTCAGCAGACTTGGAGCAGATGTAGAAGGGAACTAAGTGTATTTATTTTACTGTTGTTCATAAAGTAGCTGGATCCATCAGGTATGTTCAGATTGAATCAGTACTATATGTCTTATCTATATGCATATTTAAGGACCGATAAATCAGCAAATTAATTAGCTTGTTAGTCTAATCCAAAGCCCTGTGGAATAGACTCCCCTATTCCTATGCACAGTGTGAAGTGAATTTTCACACTTCTAAAGAATTATATGTGCATTCTTGTATTTTGGCAGGCTTCATTTGTCTCAGATGAGAAGATGCTTATGTGTATATTATGCATGTTTATGTATATGTAGCATTAAGTGAGCAATTATGAATACATCTGCAGATATCACAGTGCATGAAAAAAAGCAGAGTTGAACACTAGTCATGACCCTGTTGTTGACATGCTTTAGCCTTACTTTCTCTTCTTTCCACCTTTGCTTTTGTAAAGGAACGGAATTTGGATCTGTACAATTAGATGACAGCACTTGTTCCATGCTGCCACTTCCAGGGGCATGAAGTCACTCTGCACCTCTGTTTCCACTCTCAAGTACTGGGGATCTCTCTGCAGTTCCTTCTACGACCGACCGACCGTGCTTTGAGCTGCTGGCTCTGCATGATGTGTTCACTTCTGCTCTTTTGTGTGCTTTTCAATGTAGAAGGCTTGCCTCACCACAGGTGTTCTCCTAGTGAATGATGAAACACATTACTGCAACAATGCAATTATGATGTAGCAAATAGTTGGTATTAGAAAAGTTTCAAAGAGCCATTCTTGGGGGAGGAGGAGGAAGCAATCCTAAAAAAAAAAAAAAAAAAAAAAAAAAAAAAAAGCTAATGCTTGGCAGTAAGCTTCTGCAAAGTGCTAGAATTTTCCCCCAATGCCTCTTTGTGCTTCTGCAGCATGGGTGTAACTATGCTGACACTTTTTTTCTTAGTAATATTAGTCTAGTGCTCCCTAAACTCTGAGCAGAATATTAAATCAGATCTGATTAAATTGGGTTCCCTTGATAGAGTAGAAGATTGCTTAAAGCTTTCTAATTTGTGGCCTATGATTGTGCTCAGTTAAATGTGATATTAAGGTCAAGGTCTAACATGAAGTCAAAGAGTACACCACAAATTCATTACTACATTTTAATTCATGTAGTGGCACATCTAAGAATATGCTTCTTTACCTTTGACCCTCAGTTGTAAAGGAAACCCATCTGTTCTTACTGGGTTATGCAAACCCCTGGAGACTAGATTGCTAGGTCTGTTAAGGATAAAGAAGGTCACAAAAAGTAGACATCTGTATAAATACTCCATCATTAATATTCTCCTTCATAACAAATGTTGGCAAAAAGAAAAGAACCACAATCAAGAATGTCTCATGACAATTTTCAGAGTAGAGGACCCATTTAGGGGTATTTATAGTGTCCATTCCACTTTGGAGTCTTGCTTGGGTACAATTAAGTGGACCAAATAAGGCACCCAAATTTCCTCCCAGTTAATAGTGACAGGTACTGTCAAGGCAGTGATTCAACACCAGTTAGATGGTGAGGAGGCAATACAAAAACTGTCTTTGTTCTGAAAAACAATGGATGTCAGCAAGACAAAATGGGCATTGAGCAGCAAGAGAAAAACTGAGGGAGAAAAGAAAATTCTAAATTATAAATTCTAAATTATATACTAAATTATAGTGACAATTAGAAAGTATTTTATGGTAAGAAGTCCTGTCCATGTTCTTCTTATGTACACAATATTTATTCGGCTTATTCTCTATATGAGTATTTTTAAAGATTAAAAAAGGAGAGTTTATGCTTTCTTTGCAGTAACTATTCAGCTAATACAAATGTTATGTATTTGGTCATATCTTGTTCTTTAGAACTGTCAACTGTCTGTCAATCTTCATATTTGCAAGAAAGAAAACACGCCAGCAACCCCACTGTGCTGAATGTGACAGCATTGTAGTGTCAGAGGACCAAGAGACAGGTGATGGTTTATGATAGAAATAAATCTTTTATGAGAGCAAACTTGGTAGAATTGCATGTTTTTGTATGGAATATATCACTGTGCAGCTATCACTGACAATCTTCTGAAATGCATCAGTTTCATAAGGGAAGGTTTTTATTGTGTCTAATCATGTATTGAGTCACTGGAGGGAAAAAGGAAAAGGTAAATGCTTTTTGTATCTATATAATATGTAATATATATGTGTATGTAGAGGTGTTCCTGTCTTCATCGATATTTGAAAAGAATTAGACTAATTTAATGATGCTTAAACTGATTCACATCATTATTGTACAATTCTGATCACTACACAGCAAGCAAGAGTGCCTCTGTGTATTGCATTTTGAAACAGGACAAGGTGCTTTCCATAAAAATACTTTATTTTGAATAGGAGTACTTGGAGTTAAACTGTATTTCTTGGTATACAGTGGGATGTTGCATTTTTGAGCTTTTTTTCACATGTTGCCTGTAAATAGGTGACAAAATCATTTTAAGTGTTTTTTTCTGAATATGTATAAAAGAGTAATATCCTCCCAGAAATCCACACATCTCACAGCCAGGTAAAATAACTTGAATATTTTTATTATGAGATTTCATTTTCAAAGTTATGTTATTCCACAATAAAAAGAATTGTTAAGAATCATATAAACCTCACAAACCTCTGATTCGTTTTTTGTTGGAAAAGCCTGGATATGTGTGAAAATTTCTGTTTCAGAAAGCCAGAATATCATAACAGACCTAGCAAATAGATTTGCAATTCTAGTCTCACCTCAGCTGTGTACCCAAATAATGTACAGCACTTTTGTCATTCATTTGCTAGTTTGGCCACACATGAAATTATGATTACAAACCCCACCTAGTTTTTTCTCTTTAAAGTAGGAATCATTTCAATTAAAATGAGTATTCAAGGCAAGGCCTTTCCACAAATATACAGCCTTGATAAGAAAAAAAAAAAAAGAAATTCTTTTTCATCTCCTCCAAAGTTTTAAGCAGTTCTATGCTACCCTTTCCCTTTCTTCGTATACTGCTGATATTTTTCCTCTCTAGTATTGCAGTTGCTTATTTGACCAGTACAACTGTTCCATGTTATATTTGGTTATGCCTTTACTATGAATTCAGGGCAAGGGTCAGCACACAGTCATGCAGCCCAAAGGGCAGACTATGGGTGGCAGTGTCTTTATTAGCAAGGCAATCATGTGACAGGTAAATTGTTTAGCTTGATAGCTGCTACATGATGTGCCAGTGGGTTTTGAGATCCACATGCTGAAGCCTGGACAAAGACCTGTGAAGTAAATGGAAAATGTTGGTGTTAAGTTTTATACTGGGAAAAAAAACCCCAATTACAACAACAACAAAAAACCCCAAACAAAAACCAAAACCAACAACAACAAAACCAAAACCAAACAAAAAACAAATAAAGAAGAAAAAAAAGAACACTAAGAACACCCACACCAAAACATTCTACCTCTTGCATGAAGATCTGTGCCAAAATCCTGCAGAAATGCCTTACAATTCTGTCCAGCTGTATAAAGGCAGTGGTTAGGGGGTTTCGGTGAACCAAAGACATGACTGCCTTGCATGTGACATCTGTTTTAGTCTCATGGCACTAAGCTGGAGTGCAGGTTAAAATAGAATACACTGACAGGCAGATATTGGAAAGGATCCCAGTCTAGCCTAGTCACAGTAAAATTAGTATCCAGTTAATTTTATCTACCAGTCCTGGAAAGTGAAACATATTATTTCATACACTCTTTTGCCAACTAATTCCCACCACAGGCTCCGTAGATTTCAGTTAGGGGGTGTTTCTTTTGTGAAGTGGCTGAGTTGTGTTTCCTGTCTATCGTGTTTGAGCTAAACCCTCAAATTTTGTCTTTTTGCACAAACACATGTTTTCAGAGACCTCTTTCTGCCTTTATTTTTAAATAAAATGTATGATTATTAATTAGAAAAGTCAGAGGAAGGAGCGGGAAGAAGGGGATTTCTCAACCCAAACAAATTCCCTCATTCATATTTTTTTACCACTCTGTTTATTTGCATGTGGTTTTTCATGCTTTTTTTGAAACCTTCTGAGTCCCATCTGGCAAGAAGCACAAAGTGTCTCTTCCCAAAACTCCCACTCTAGGAATGCTGTGTGATGCCAAAGCACAGGATGTGTTAATGTGAAGGCCAGAGCTAGCCTGCTCTGCTGTCAGTTCATCCCCTGCCAAGCCTTGCTCTCCACAGCACAGACACAGGCAGCAGAGAAAAGTCAACAGACATAGCTCAGATCAGTAGTCAAAGCTTTGAGAACTATCCAAATGTTCCAAGTGCTCATCCAAGTGACAGGCATTTGAACAGAGTCGCAGTAGTGCTCATGAACCTGCTCCAACAGCTCACTGTAAGTTTTGTAGGCTTAAGAGCTTTTCCTTCCCACAATTTCCCTTCCTTCTGCCCTTTTGCTAAAACTACTGCCTACTTCTGTTTGTTCCCCTGTGCAGCCTGAGGTTTTCTCTGTCCCCATGAGGGAGAATGTGACCTCTCCCTATGTGGCTCAACTATGCTGTGGCAGAAGCAGGGATCTGGGCTTCCCATTCTGCTGCTTCCTGCATTTTTGCAGGCTGTGTGAACTTGAAAAACTAATATATCCCTCTGGCATTAAACAATGCTGTAGCCTGTTGGTATATTTATACAATCCTGAGAATTTTCTATGAGATCCCACACGAGGAATGGCTAAAGAACACATCTCCTTTCAGGTAAATGGCTTGGCATATATATTTTTTTCCCCATACAGAAGCCCTGTCTAGCCTTTTGGACAGGCAGAAGGTCTGTCACTAGTAGAGTTTTAAATAGAATAATCTGAGTCATATTAATGGTTGCAAGATAAAGTCTGGATATCACTATATCTAAGTCTGTGTAGTAATTTTTTTTTTCCTACATTGGAACTGAAGTCTCTCTAAATGGCCACCCTTCATTTGAGTTGCATTATACTGACCAACAGAACAGGATAAATTAAGGAAACAAAGTTAAATTGCTGTTTATTCACAGGCTTATTAGTGAAAATAACCTATATTTCTTTCAGTATTTTAATAAGTGGAGAAAATTACTATGAATCTCACCACAGTTAAGAGTAGTTTTAAAATAGCTGTGTGCTTGTAATTAATTTTATAAACATCTATGTCTATTTATGTGATTATGAGATATCAGTTTTATCAAAAAGTGATGTATGCAGAATGCTCCTCTATTTTATAAATTTTCCTTTCTACATATTAAACTAAAAAAGAGACTAAGAACCAAAATCTAAAACCCTAAGTGTAACAAGCTAAATGCAATTTCACAAGGAGAATGAGAGGCAAAACTATTTCACTGAAAAGTAGTAGGTCATAATTTTTAATATACAGAAAAAAAATTGTGCAGAAGTCTTTCAGCTGTAAATTTCAGAGGGTCTGCACATTTAGAAACTATAACAGGACAGAAGTATTTCTCTTGCTAGTTTGCCTGCAGCAAACATGTTATTCAAGGCTGGGAAATTGAATGACCCTTTCTGGAGAACAATATATAAAGTACAATCTCAAAAAGATTTTTACTGACTGAAAAAGGATTTAAAAACATAGTCTTGGAGACAGATGTATACAAAACTTTGTAAGAAAACTCTTGTAGAAAGCAATTACATTTTTATATGTTAACATTTTTTACTATTTTTAATATTTTTACTCAAGGTTGTTTTGAAAAGCCTATTTCTCTCTGAAAGACAGTGTTGGAAATCTTTTTGTTTATTTTAGTTTTTTCCCCACCCTGTGCTCTGTCACTTGGATTGCCCTACTAGATATTTCCCCCTGCTAAAAGGCTTTGTCCCATGCCAGTGCACTCTTCTCCCCTCTGCCTTTCCCTTGCCCCAGCTAGCTCTGGGGAGAAGGGGCGCGGGCAGATCTCCAGCGCTTCCCGCTGAACCCTCGCGGGCTTTGGGCAGCACTGTCGGAGTTCAGAGAGCAGTCAGCGACCCCACGGCGATTTAATGAAGAGAGTCTTTCTCCAGGGGGCGAATTCTGTTTATTGCAATCCAACAGGAATACAATAATTCGAAGGGAACCAGGCGTGCCGCGCCTGCATTTGCCGGAGTGGTGCGAGCAGGTGGAGCGCGCTGGAGCCGGCCAGGAGAAAGCACGGAGCACGCTGCGCGCACGGACTAAGTACGGAACGGGGGGAAACCGGAGCAGCCAATGGGGTAACGCCACAGGGGGTTTGAGGGTAGTGGGATACGGGGGTACATCCAATGAAGGACGGACAAGTGGAGGGTCCCAGGTCCTCTGCCTATCACCCGGCGTCCCGGGTGGAAGATTCCAGGTGGAGGGGAAGGGACACTGAGTGACAGACAGGCATCTGGAGTAAACAGGGGGATGACATTGCATTTTTGGGGACAAGGACCCGCGGGGAAAGACGGGAAAACTCGGGGGGAACCGTTACAGAACCAGGGGTACATGGAACAAACCTATACATAATACAAATGTAAAAAACCTAAAAAACACAACTCTACAGTCCCATCTCCAGGGTCACTTTTCAGAAATTAAGGAACACTAGATAACAAGGATAACCTCTTCAAGTGACCTATCCTTTAACCATGACCCCTGCTCATACAAATTAGGTCCGTTGGAATGTCCCTAAAAGTGAGTCAATTCTAATCATCTTAGAACACTCTCCTTTAAACCTACAGAACATATTAGTGTGCAATTTATTATAAGTTTAGAGCAGCTGAGATTTGCTTACTAGAAAAATCTGCCAAAGAGTATTGTTTTCTTTCCTAAAATAAAGAATGTGGATAGAAATAAATATAGTCTACAGACTAGACAAAAGACCACACCAGTTCATTTATCTCTGCTTTATATGTGAAGAATAAAACTGTTAGGAGGAAGGGATGATATCCAACATGTGTAAGTAGATGCAATGGAAAAACGAGTAAATATTATGTTAGTTAGAATCATATGTGAAAACAAAAGGGAGAAGGGTACCATGTGAAGGAAAAAAATTTAATGATTACATCATCCATGTGGTTTGCTATACCTCTTTTAAAAATTCTTCTGTCTTTATATTATTAGCAAAACCTATTGAAAATGAAATATTTCAGAGCAGAATATTTTGTTGAATGATTTGAAAAGGAAGAGAGCTCGGGTATGAAACAGGCCTGAAGGAGCAAGGAATATGATGCTGAACAGGCTTGATAAAATGCTTGGAAATAACAGAGGGAGACTAAAGCGTGGCTCGGTCACTCCGACTGAGTTGGGGACTTCGGGCACGCGATGGTGGTAGTAAAGAAAGGAGTCTTCCACCAGGCGAGAGTCTCTCAGGCGGCTTTATTCTGAGGGCTTAGGTGAGGGAAGGCGAGGAAGGAGAAGGGACGCAGCCACTCAGAGGGCGAGCCAGCTCTGAGAGCCCCGAACCAGGGGCGGGGCAGGGTATATAACTGTAACAGGGAAGGAGGGTCAGGGTGTAGAGCATCCAACCGGGTGAGGGTATGAGGGTGGAGTCAAGGGAGAGTGACACGGCAACGGCCAACCGGGATAGGGGGAAGGAGTGGTTTCGGGGGAAGAACCAATGGGGTTACAAAGAACCGAGAACTTTCCAGAACAAAGGGAAGGAGTACAAAATGATTGACATAAACTGGGGGAAGGGAGGACAGGTAACAGACAACTTGGGAGGCGGGAAAACTACACATCTGTGGCCTCCCATGGCAATGCAGAGAGGTCACCAGCCACACCCCCTCCCACAGGAGACAAAGCACAGAAAAGCTGTGAAAATTGAGGGATCTCCATTTAGAAGGCAAAATTTAGATGCATATATTAAAAGCAGAGAGTGAAAAAGTTGTTGAGAAGACTTTTAGACAGGATGAATACAGTCAGAAAGACAATGAAACCCTTACTGCCTTTTTTGGAGGTATTCTAGATCTACTCTTGGGCTCAGACTGAAAGAAAAAGATGAGAATTTTTTCTATGTATTGTAGGAGATTAAGGAATAGATTTAAGAGTATTCATGTGGTCAGTGAAGTAAAGTGAAAAGTGAAATGTCAACTGGGTCCACATGCTGCGACCTCTCCCCAAGCCACTGTCTGAGGTCCTCAGCCTCGGCTAGCTCTCTCAAGGGGCGAGAAGGGCAGGTAGCAGCACCCTCTGCTGGACCCAGGCGGGCTTTGGAGAGTGCTGTGTAGTTCCGGATGGCAGCGAGATCCTAACGGCGTAAAAAATGAGGAGAGTCCTTTGTCGGGGGCAAAACTCCACTTTATTGTATCCCAGAGGGTACAAGTGGCGTGAAGGGAGCCAGCTAACACAGCTGGTGCCTGCCAACAAAGGCCCCGGTATGGGGCTTGCAACAGTTTATAAAGGGAATGGGAGGGGAACCGGTCAGTCAATAGGGACACAGTAAGGGGTGGCTCTTGGATAAATTGCCAAGGGGGGGCATCCAATCAGGGAGGAACAGGGGAGGAGCCCCAGGCCCTTTTCCAATCACCCGATGCCCTGTGTGGAAGCTTCCAGATGTAAGGGAAGGGACACCGAGTGATGGACAAGGCACCTGGGAGGGGACAGGGGAATGAATCAGCACTTTTAGGGAGATTGACACATGAGGGAAGGCAGGAAACTCAGGGAGAAACTAATACAATGTGGGGGATAACTGGGACAAACCATTACAGAATATAACATTAATAAAACATAAAATAATGCAACTCCACATCCACAGGACAAAAATAAAGAACAGAATGAGAAATGCGGATTATGCTTAGATGTTTCAGAAGGCATATCGGTTTGAGTTGAGGAATGAGCCCTTGGAAGGTTAGAGATAAAGAGAGAAAGACAGGAATCCTTAGGACAAAAGAGATTTCATGAGTCTTTGGCACGTTCTATACCTATTAATTCACTATTAAGCCATTACTGTTTTTCCCAAGATTCACAAAGGTTTGGATCAGATGTTCTGTGAGAAGAGTGGAAGGAATAGTCAGGAGAATGACTGCTCCCACTTATCAGGAATTATGAGGTGTATGAAGACAACAATGTTGATGGATGCCTTTTTATTGTAGGGTTGAAATTAGCATGAATGGGATGGATGAGAGATGAAAATTAGGAGCTGTGAGTGGATTGGAGGACCTACCACATCCTTCATGTAGACCCCTGAAGGAGCCAGCACCATTATCTGCTTAGTAAAGAGATGACAAAACTGAACATAAAAGGTTTTTGCAAACAATAACAAACTTCAACCATCATAAAAGCCAAAATTCTGAAAAATAAATTACTTCTGGGGGGGTTGACCTTCTCTTCCTACTTTCTACAGATGTCTCTGAAAGTGGAACATGGACCGCGCTAGTTAAACATGTTTGAATGCCCACTTTTTCAATTTTTCCCCCTAAACTTTCATGTTTGACTTCCCTGAGTATTTTCCCCCCTTTATACAGATTGTCTTTAGCAGATTTTGTATGCTTTAACTTAAATATTTAAGTTAAAAAGCACTTGCAGTAGTTCTCACTTGTCACAATGGGGTTTATATATTTTCACACAATCCAAACTGCCTATGTAGCTGAAAGCCAAGAGTGAATATAGAGCACTGGAATAGAACTTCACACCTCATCTACTTTTAAAATGCTGTTTCCTTCACAGGAGTTGAAATAAAAGTACTTTACCGTTTCTGTTTCTAAAATCGACATGCTAAAGAATTAGGCTATCTATGCCACAAAGAAGAAAATACTTATTCATTATAAAGTGCACTAGCTACAAAAAAAGCAATATCTTCAAAAATTTCACATGTTAAAAACTTGATTCATGAAACAAACATTGCATTTGTTAATGTACTTTTACAGATATAATAGCAAAGAATGTCTGATCGAGCACAAGGATGATGAAAATGCGATCGAGCATAAGAACCATGAAAATTCTTTTATATCATGTTTAAAATATTCAGGAAAATGAGAAAGACCATGATTATTTTTGGTGAGGACCAAACAGGGTCTACCATGAGACATGAGAAATAGTCTTGCCAGTTCTACCATCAGTACATGTGGCCAAAGATTGAGAAAACTTCTTTAGCTACTGTTATGGTCAAATTAAAGTGGAAAATTTTCATCATAGTCAACATAATATCAAGGATTGAAAAGAGAATGAAAAATATTTGTCAACTGGCTAAAAAAGCTTTAAACAAAAACAACTTAAATATCTTTGAATAAATTATTTCAAATTAATGTATATTAATTTTTCTTTAGAAATCATATATCAAGGATTTAGAGCTAGCCATATATGTCTGTTAGGTGGGATACCAGTGTAAAAAGTTGAAAGTGAAGAGATTTATGATCTCTTGTAAAATTAACCATTATATAATAGATTAAACACTTCATTTAGAGAACAACTTTATTCTCACTTCTGAGAATAACGTGGGAAGTCTTTTGGGGTTAATTTTGCATTTACAGATTATCTGCTTTTGTATCTATGCAATTTTTCTCCATGCTCTTCAAGCTGACGTTTCCTTCTTGGACTCTCACTGAAGTTGGATCTATTTGAATATTGACAAACAGAAGGAATTGAGACTGAGCAGGAGAAACAATGTATTGTGCCATGTGCAGTTCCTGGATCTGTAAAGTTATCATCAAAAATCACAAATATCTAGCAACATTAACATTATTAACATTAATGCTTGATTTTGAGTATGTCCTGGCTACAGAATTTTACTCAGAGCGTTTGAATGATTTTATTCTAGTATTCCTTATGATGTTTCTGTTGTGTATGCAAATGGTATCTAATGTGTAGAGCATTCAACTCAAATGTCTTTTCTTCCACACTGAATCCTGACTACTTCTTTGTTCACTTCTAAACCATATATTTATTTTTAATCATTTTATTTAAAAATCATGAGAATCCAACCTCTGGCTAGCTGTTAATTTCATTTGCTTTGCTCTGTCATGAGTCTTCAATAATCAGGGATTATTCTTTGTTCTTGCAGTCCTGAGAGTGGAATTTGCCAGGGTCTGATAAACATGAATTTCATGAAAACACTAGGAAGGGAGAGCTGGGTCAGCTGGGTAATCCCAGCTGCCAGCACATTTAACATACCACGGAGAAGTAAGAGTCGACCAGCAGTGGGATGGAAAGAGCAAAACAGACCTTCAGCTGAGATTTCCCATCTCTCATCTGTTCCTTTAATATTATATCAGAGAGTTGCTTGCACGTGGATATATTTCCTACACCTGACCCTATGTCACAGATTATGTGATCTCAGCATTATTGTATCTCCTCTGAGAACTGTGGTATACTTTTGAGTGACTAAAGTGCTTTAGGATCTAATGCCGCCTGAACCTGGATAGGATTGGATTCAAACAGGGCTGTGTACATACCCGTCACATACCTGTGAGGGAAGAATTGGAGGGTTTCAATTAATGTGTGTCTGGTTATCTCTACTGCTGCACAGCTCCTGAAAATTTCATATATAGGAAACACATCACACTTTGTCCATTTAAAAATTTAATGAGAGACAAACTAGTCTCTTAGTTAAAATAGTTGGAAACTATTCTTAAGTTGCCAGATAAAGAATAATAAAACTGACTGACATCTGACTGGGGGGAGAGGTTGATATACCACAGGGCTGTGCTGCCATCCAAGCAGCCTTAATGTGCTGAGAGGATGAGCCAACAGGCACCTGGTGAAGCTCATTCAACAAAGCTAAGTGCAAGTCCTGCACCTGGAGATGAGAAATCCTAGAAACCAGTATATGTAAGGCAACACTCAGCTTTGCAGAAAATTGCCTAGGGGGTCCTGGTGGACACCAAGTAGGACAGCAGAGCAGACCTGTTGCCAAAGTGAAAGGTATCCTGGGGTACATTCAGAAAAGCATTGCCAACAGATCGAGGGAGGTGATCCTGTCTCTCTGCTCAGCCCCAGTGAGGTCTCACTTGGAATGCTGTGTCCAGTTCTGGGCTCCTCAGTACAAGGGAGACATGGAGCTTCTGGAGAGAGCCAAATAGAGAGCCACCAAGGTGATCAAAGGGAGGCTCCCAAGCGAACAGAACCAGGCTCTTTCCAGTTATGCTCAGTGACAGAACCAGAGACAATGGGCACAAACTGAAACACAGGAGATTTCAGATGAACATTAATACTTAATCACTGTGAAGGTGACTGAGCACTTTCCCAGGTTGCCCAGGGAAGTGGGGAAGGTGTAGTTTTCATCCTTGGAGATACACAACAGCTGTCCAGAAACAATCCCAAGCAATCAGCTTTGGGTGCTCTATTCAGGCATAAGAATTAGCCCTCCAGAGGTCCCTTCCAAACTCAGATTTTCTGTAACTGTGATTCTGCAGCTCTGTGATTCTCTGATTCTCTGACTGTGAACTTTCTGCATTTATTCCAATATCAATGAACGAGAAAGATCTTAGTATAGTCATTGAACTGTTATGAGGAGAATTAATTTTCTCTGTTCTCTGGGATAAATCATATTCCTATAACTTTAGCACTAATCTTCACACAATACGTTAGAGTGCCCTGGTGCTGTAGGATCATCCATGAAAGGTTTAATGGTGCTCATAAATATGTTTTTCATCCCTTTTATGTTGCACCAGTTTGATAATATTCTTTCACAGAATATTATAGTACATTTCTCTTGATACTTGCTGCCTTTACTTCCTGCCATTCCTAAAATCCTTTCTCTCACTTAATTTGTTTTTAATTCATTTAAATTAGAATCACAAAGTTAAATATATTTTTTCCTGGATTTACTTTAGCAGAAGCAATATATAATGTTTATTTTCTTATCATTGTTTTGAATACCTGCTCACATGCCACTTCATCCTAATGCTAATGTCAGTGTGGTGGGGAAAAAACAAGGTACTGTCTTTCAAGTATTTTAAACTGTGTCTTCCACCCTGGACAATGACTCTAGGTTAAAATGCCATCTGCAAAATTAAAAGAATAAACTGTTATTGTTTGTCATTTAAACTTTGTAAAGCTTTCAGGATTTTGTAGGAAGGGAGAAGAACCCATTAAGTATCTTTACTGGACTCCTCTTCAGAAAGGGGCATTTCTTTGCAATTTCTCAAATTTTCAGATATCCAGTGCAGTTCAGACTACTTCTCCAATGCAGGGCATAGGAATTGCAGATAATGCATTAATGTATGCTCTAATTTCTTGTACAGAAATGACAAGGATGCAAAATAGTATAAACTTTACATGCAGCTACCATTACTTCATCAGTAAAGAATCAAAAATATTAGGCTACAACTGTCCGTGGTCTCTCATGGGAATGACCTGAGAGGCCAAGCCTCTTCCTCCTTGTTTTTTTTTTCTATATTTCTTTTTTATTAAAGACAAAGAAGCTTTATTTTCCTTCTTTATCTTCCTACCCTGAAGTATGAATATTGTTCATACTTCAGGGTAGGAAGAACATTCATATTCTATTTTCCTCTATAGCTTACATTGCTCTATGTGACAGTGTAACTTAAGAGTATTATAACATACACACAGAGAGGACAACAGTTTTTTAATTGTGGGTTTCTCCTTAGCTTTGGCATTTCTTGACATTTGAGTAGTTCACCATGTAAATTTAATACTACATGAACACAATTTTTTTGGTATTTAAGTCCATGAAGCTTTTTCCATTCTTTCAGGAAAAATATATACAAGAAAAAGAGAAAAGGGATACATAAGGGATACATAAGATATACATGGACTTTGAATTTTTTCATTTTGCAAATAATGTCATTCATTTCATTTTCAAGGTAGGTGTCAGGGCAGTCTATGAATTCAGTTGTTCTTTTTCAAAATCACCAGAAAAAAACAATCTAGAACTTTTAAACAAAACCAACAAACCTCTTTAATTTCCAATTTGCAACTTATTTATTAAAATATCAGCCACGTTCAAAGTACCACCTCAATCATCATTAGCCAATTTATTGCCAGATTTGATAGATTGATAGATTTATTGATAGATTTGAGGTAATGCTGCTTCAATTAAACTATGGTGATTACTGTTCACCATCATTAGATTCAGTTGATATGTTGGGAGGCAGCACCTCATCAAATACAATATTTAAGGCCTGTGTTTCCAAACACGCTTAATATTCAAATTATTGCAGAACTGCCATTCCTTCAAATGAAGGGCAACAATCAACTGCCTCAAAAATTTAACAGAAAGGACAAATATTTACCAGATGCAGATAGATTGCTGCTCTTGCACTAGTTGTTCCATAAATTTCATATGATATTAGGGGACAGGTATAAAATTTTGTTGTGGAATATGTTGTGGAAAAATTCACACGAAATAGTCTAATGTTGTCCTTGAGGAACAGAGAGAATAAACCTAAGGGTTAATTCATGTTTTGGTAGACAGTGAACTCCCAAAAACGAGTAAAGATTTCAAATGTCATGTCAGTGAGCATCCTGTCAAATAACTGCTACAGTTATCAAGAAAGGATATTGTGTAGACAGACAGTGTCTTTCAGACCACCCATCACTTCTGCTTTTCCTCTGCTTCCTCAGACTCAGCCAATGCTGTGCACGCTGGGCTCAGAGGAAGGAAGCAAAACCTGGGACAGAAGGAAAACAGTTTTTCCCATACTGCTTGCTTTGTTCTTCCAAGCACAAGGTAACAAATACGTATTTAATCCTTTACATGTTTGCAATGAATTACATTCAGGAAAGGTTTCATAAATAATACCTCCCCAATGACTAATTATAAATGCTATTACACAAATGTGAGGAGCTAAATCTGTTTGCCAAGGTTAGAGAGACAGCATGTTTCTCTAACGCGAGTGCTTTACTCCAAATCTAATGGATACTTTACGTCCTATAGAGAAAACAGTAATGATATTTGATTTAGTGCAATAGACACTAAACAAGCAAGACCTGCTTGCGATGTTGTCTGCTCATGTAACTTCAGAGCGACTGCAGGGAAGAGTGGTGAAGGAAAGACATGTACATCACATGCATTTTTGACAGAACAAAAACTCAGAGCGTCTAACCAAACAATTGCATATTTGCAACTCTATAACAGCAGCTTTGGTTCCTCTTATATTTTCTTAGGCAAAGACACTTCATTCTGCAATTTATTTCCTTAGAAAAGTTTAGGAGTTTTTTTGTTTTGCTTTTTTATGCTTTTTTATTGGTTGGTTGGTTTGTTGGCTGTGTTTACTGTTGTTTGTTTTGTTATGGGTTTGGTTTGGATTTTTATTCAAACTAATTGTTTTAATTGCTATAAATCTCAAATAATAGAAAAGAAATTTTTTAACTGTTCCAAGTGCTCCTATTGGGGATGAAACCAAACTTGGAAAGTTGCCACCCTAGAAATGAGTGATCTATTTTAAATGTGTGAGTTTTACAGCCATACAAGTGCTCCACTGTGTTTACACACCTATATTTCAAAGCACTTTTGATGATATTCATGGCAATATCATCATGCCAACAAATGGCATATTTTGTGTATTTATGTTCATTAAGTGGTAAGTCCAAGAGTGATTGAACTGCTGCTTCTAGCCCTGATCTCATGCAGCACACACTGGAGAGGCAGAGTGACTCAGAGCTCTGGTTGCCTGTCTCTGCATGCAAACACCAGTCAGCTTTGCTGCCTTTTGCTTACAGCACTTTTCAGTAGGTGCTAAGGAATTGCTTTTGGAGCTGGGGAAAGCTGACAGATCCCCTGTGAGATTAAGTGAACACACTTGCCAGAACAGAAAGGAGAAAGAAAATTTGTTTGTTCAAGGCACTCATGCTTTGGCTTGTTGCTGTCAGAAGAGAGATTCTGTAGGTGTTAGGAGGAGAAATGGACTGTGATTTAAATAACTGCTTTTATATACTTAGTAAATATCAGATTAAGCTCTGATCCATTTCTTTTTCAGGGCACCCACCAATAGAAAACTCCCCTAAGCTCCAAGAACTCCAAGACCAAAATCAAATATGTTGACATTTTTTGTAGTGAGTTGTGAAAGGTAGGTGAAATTTTAAGTCCTTATGCCCATATGTGAGAATTTAGACCTATCATTTTCTTCCTTACAGTCTGCCTATGTCTTAGAGATGTATTCAGAAATATTAATTTCATTCTGGTGGTGTTATTCAGTCCTACTGCTGGCTTACTTGTCAAGGACGGGGATGCATAAAAAAATAATAATATTAACAAAAATATTGTGGATTGACATGTCAATTTTTCTCACAGATACAGTTCTACCACCTTTTAAAAATCTGTCTGTAGAGTCATTGGATGTGTAAATGCATTGAGACTAACTTCAGCTATAGAAGGATTTATCTTGAGCATGCATCTTAATTTTCTACTCTGACAATGGAAACAATTCTGTCTGAATTAATATCCATATGGAGTCAGAATTAGAATAATTTAAATCAATTAACTTATAAACAAACTTGGAAAAAAATATATTTTCTTTGCAGAAATTCTTCATTAAACACTATTGCTTGGAAGTTGTTACCCAGGATGCAGTAATAAGAAAGGAGAACACTGAAAAGCCTGTGAAGAATGTTTATGATATTTATGTAATGTTTATTGTAACTCTTGCTTCTTGCTTTTCAAAGGCATAATTGCTGAAGAGGAGTCTCCTGGAGGAGGTTGTGCTCCTGGCACTTTCAACTACTAATTAGATGTTCCTTCTTACTATAGTCTAACTTATTAATTTAATTAGTCCTGATGTTTTCAGCAGCTTTTCTGTGGTTCTAAATGAAAAGATGAATAGAGTTCATTGAGGTTATTATTCTCAAGCTTTAACACAAGATCTGTGTCTTCTTGTGAACTGGAAGCTGGCATTCAAAGGTGTTTAAATCTGGCCTTGTTCATGGCCCCCAAGCAGACTGAGGTAAATCCATTAAATAAGAAGCAACCCCTTTTTTAAAAAGTGATTTTATGTAAGCTAAACCATGAGTATTCTTAAATAACCAAGAGTGATTTGATGTGCTGTAGCTGTTTGCTGATTTACAATATTCAGGAGCATTAGGCATACCACAAATGAGTTTTTGTTAAGGCTGTTCATCATGTTTATGATGTCTTTTGGGGCATCATAGGTGATTAGGAGGTATGATGTAGATGGCCAAAGGTTATGTGCAAGCAGTGATGAATCTGACCTGTTCTGCATGGTCATGGAACACAAAACAAATACATTTAAATTCCTCCATTTGCCTTTGTATGGTAGAGACTGAATGTAGCTCTATACAGGGAGGCAGAGTGAGCAAATTACCGTGCAAGGAGGCAGCTAATTGCTGAACTTGATTGCAACTGCTAATCAGAGTCACAGGGAAAAAAAGTGTTGGGAATTAATTAGGCAAGGACCTTCAGAACAGCAGCAGGAAGCCTCCAAGTGACCTTTATTTACAGTCAGTTAAACAGAAGTGTGACTAAAAATGCCAAGGAGAAAATCAGATTATTAATATTGATTGCTTAAAGAAAATGAATAATTTAGGAGCAGTTAGAATAAATATGCAGAGACAGAGATGAAAGAGCACAATGTACTACCTTTCCAACATTCATCTATCATGCAGCAGTGCCCCTTCACGCAGAAATAGAGAATTTCCACCATCACAAAACATAATTAGTTTCATGACCCAGAATGATTGCTGTATTGGTGCTACAAGAAGTGTTTCTTTATTATTATTTTCCCAGGGCAGCAGGATGTGGAGGGAGACACAGGTCTCCTCAACAGTAGCTTTGCTCTTGGAACTTTTCAAAGAGATCATGGGGTTAACTTTAATTCTTTGTCAAAAAATAGCAGAAATGTGGTATGTCAGTTATTCAGACATACTGCCAGAGTGACCATTTTGAACATAGCTTAAAAGCATGTATAAAATCTTCTAGTCCTAAATTCCCTCTCCTGTTTGTTTACTTTCTGTTTTTTTTTCCCCAGTGATTTTTAGAGTGATTATCTTTAATCTATCCTCTGTTTTCCCTAGTTTTAGTCTTATACTCTAATAAATTGGTCTGATAGGTTGCAGGAACATAGGAATAGATATTTTGTTTATTTCTAGTGGGGAGTTGTACAGTGATTTTTTTTTTTTATTCACAAATTTGAATACCAATAATAATGTCATAAAATATAATAATAAAGTCAAAACATTATTATAGTACTGAAAGTGCAAGGCAACAATAAAATATCTGTATGTATAGTCACCTAATCAATCCCATTTTTCATAATATTACCTGAAAAGAAAACTGGCTAGCACTACTCCTATATGTCTTATCCTATCTTTTTATGTCAGCTATTTCTCTCATTTTATTTTTTGTCTTTTTTTTTTTTTTTTTCCCTCTTCTTTACCCCAGGAAAGGAGACAAAGGGGTATTTAGCCAGGAGAAGCAGACCACACAAATATGAGAAAATTGTTTCCCATAATTTTGCTGCTACTCTATCCAATGACTTTCAGAACCAAAATTGTGAAGAAAGAGACAATTGTGGAAATTTTCTTTTTCCTTTGAGCCAAAAAGAGTGCAATGGAATAAGTTTTCAGAGGATGGTGCTTAGATTAATTGGGCAATATGATGGCTGTATTTCCACTTTACTGTTAATGGTCTCAGAGGTGGTGGCATATTGCCTGTCGAGCTGCCTTCGACTACACAGGGATTCTCTGTTGGCTGTGTTTTGCTGTATTATATCCATATAAATTAACATAAGGGTCTTTTGACAGCATCCATCTGATGATTATGACTCAAACCTTTGTGATCGTACGTGCCCTCATGCAGATGAAATGCATATATGGCACAGACAAAACAGGTCAGCACGTGTGTAATGTATCCTTGGAGCAGATCCATGTGGCAAAATTGTATTTCAGGCAACATTTTGGATGAATCAGAGAAAACTGAGCTTTTAGGCCATAGTCATGCTCCTTTCACCTGACAACTGGCTGTCAAAGGCTGCCAAATGTGAATGAGCAATGTAATCTGTGCAGAAAGGAAACTTGTGCTGGTTATTCAAAAACCCCTATGCCTTTACTCCTGTGTAAGCATTGCTTTCTTATGCACATTTGGCTTGTAAAATGTGGGAAGGTGTACCATGCAATAAGCCAAGTAGGACTACACTGAAATCAGTGCTATAAGGAGTCATAAATATTTTAGTTTTCATTTTCCCTACTGCCAGAAAAATAATTACTTATAGATGGAACAATGAATTTGTATCTCAGGTAATTTTTTTATTTCAGATGACTTTTACTATTTGCATTAAAGTGACTGCTGTGACTCTCCAAAAATAACAGAAACCGATTCATACTCTTGCTTTGGATACTCCTTAGTGAAACTGAGTGATGATACCAGCAGATTAATAATGCAAGTTAAGAAACAATGAACAAGGAAGCCATGGTCTTGGTATGACTATAAATGTATTCCAGCTTTCTAAGACCTTACTCATGTGAGTTAGCCCCATTGATTTCAATGAAACTATTCAGATGTACAACTAGTAACATTTTGAACATTAATATAACAGACAACATCATGTTGCATTCACAGTGTGGTGAAAGAATGAAGTGCTAAAATTCGTCTAGTCTATGTAGCTTTAATTAAATCCCTTAGCATGGAAGATACTCTTCATTAACAAACCAGTATTTTTCATTATCCTATGGACTATAGAAATATACACAACATATGATGAACAGACAAGGGTTACACTATTGCATTAATTAACATTAAATCTGGCATCAAGAACTTTTCTTTGCATATGAAATAGGCCTCGTTTAAATGCAATTTTTTAAATGAATGGCTAGCAACATTTTAGCTCATATGACAAAATGAATTATAGTTTGTATGTGAACTTTAGTTTATATAGTGTATTACATCCTAATCTTAACAAGAGACTATATCTGGCAAATTAATGCTATTGAAAAATGAATTACTTTAAGACATGCATAGCCTGGCTTACATCCACCAGATTCATGCCATCTTTGTAAGCCTAGTCTCTTGATGTCACAGAAAAATTTGAACAGAAATAGAGCAGATTAAATGAGTTTCACTTTTATGTTAGGCATGCAAAGATGCTTGGTGACCTCTCATTCTTTTGAAACCATCTCATTATAAAATCCACTGTGAAGTTTGGGGAAAAAAAATTTGACAGCTCAGCTCCAGCTTGAGAGCAGCACAGGACAGGGATAGCAGGCACCCTGCTGCTCTGGGCTGAGTGGCATTGGCAGTGTGGTGTGGGAAGCCAGGCATAGCCCTTGCCCACACAATGTGATACCTGGCTCCTTTTCAGTCCACACTGTTCATCTCTCACTTTCATGAATGCTGTAATTATACTGGTTGCCACTTAAAAGTCAGTGTTTGCCAAGACCTGCCACTGAGCAGCTTCTGAAGCACCAGATCTTTGCAGGAAACAACTGTGTGGTACCTGTTGACAAATGCTGCCTTTTAGATGGCACTCATAGTGAAGGAAGCTCTCTCAACCTTCTCTAACTACACCAGCAAGAAGTAAACTATTTGTTTTTTCACATACCTTTCTGTATAGCCTTACTCTGGTGTGTGAAATATCTGTAACTTGAGAGAAGTTGAGGAACTTCTTGGGAAGTGCAGACTCTGAAAGATCCTTTTTGCTGAGTAAAACATTATTATTCAGGGGATATTCCTTATTTCTTCTCTGCTAACTCATTCCTGTATATTTTAAATCAATCTGTAACAATTTTTTTGTAATATAAAACTTCTATTCAAAGAAAATGGCAGGAAGAAGACAGAGATTTAATAAATGCAAGCTAAGAAGCTTAATCACATTAGATATCAAATGATACCTTTTTTTTGTGAAGGTATGTTAAAATTATTAGTAGTTGAAAGATGGGTTAATGGTGCTTTAAAAGTGATATGAGCACTGAATGAGCTGCTGTTTGCTCTCACATCATGCCAAGACTTTTCACTCTCTTTCCCAAAAGAGGTTGTTCTGCTTTTTATTGTGCCACACAGTAATGTCAAGTTACTAAGCATCACTTGATACAATGGAATACAAATTTTAAAAAAAGTCTC